TCTTGGAATAAGATTAGATAAAAATTATATCCTAACAATGTCGGGTGGAGAGAGAAAGAAAAGAGGATGTGATCGGGGGCATGGATGGGAGGAGGCTGGTGCTGAATTCTATCAAGAAAGTTATCCAGCAGCCATGGAGGCGGATCTGCAACAGGCGCTGCAAAGAGATCCCTCGCATATAGCAACTTTACTTCCTAGCAAGAAATCTCGCGTTGGTAGGTTTACTCTGTTTTGAGAGACATTTCACAATTTTCTCTGTGTTTTAGTATTTATAGTCCATTCTTATTTCTATAAGTAGTATGTTAAAATGTTAATATGACTCTATGATTGGTTGATGATATTTTAAGACTATACTTAAAACTAATTAGCAAAATTAAAGGACTCTTTCTATACAAAATAAATAACAATAAATAAAGGGCAAAGTAAGAGTCAACACAACTGTGTTGTCAACGTGTGTTGACTCTTACTTTGCCCTTTATTTATTGTTATTTATACTTAAAACTGTTTCTAAAATATAAGAAATAAATAAAACCAAATAAATATCTCCCTTATACCTGTGTTTGATACAGCTACAGCAAAACGAATTCGTAATGACACAAAGACTACATTGAGGAGGCGTACAAGCACTAGATCTCGCGGTACCACGACTTCAAGGCGTATGTCGACTAATATACACGACGCGGCTGTGTCAATGCTGCCAGATTTATCAGAAAACTTATCCAACGAGGAGCGTACTTGGGAAGAGATTATGCAGATCAAGGCCATGCCCGTTTGCATGTCTCAGAAAATACAATTGAAGAACCAGTTACAGGTACTTTGGAAAATTTACATTTTAATGATAAATTGATGTGACTTGTAGCATTCATACTTTATCATATTTTTAGTTATTATTAATTAAATTATTCATATTTTTCAGAGTGCTACAAAGTTAAGACTTCAGGGTTTCGAGCAGCTAAAATGGCAGCGCAGGAAAGCTTGGCAGCAATTCCGCATTAGAATGAAAGAAGCTTATTCTAAGATGGAGCTGTGGAATGACAGTCTCAAGAAGATAGGTGGAAATTTCGGGATGGGCATAGTAGCGTATTTTTTATTTATCAAGTGGCTCATGTATCTGAATCTGCTTTTATTCGCCATTATATACTTGCTGATAGTACTGCCAGTGATAGTGCTGGAAGTACCGGAGAACGAAACGTGCTCGTCCAATAACGCTGCCAGCATAGCCTGTTGCTCCGAGTTGTATAGAAATAAGACCGATGAAAATAGCAGTGTATCTAAGATCTTCTCTCTTCTATTCTACGGTTCATATACGCATAAAATCTATGAGAGTGTAGGTACCAATTTCTATTACAATTCACCACTGTCGTACATCTGCACTATCCTTACTGTCTTCATTATTAGTCTGGTAGCGATCGTACGATCAGCCGCCAAAAGTTTCAGGGAGAGAATCGTGGAAGGTGAAGGCCAGTTTTATCGGTACTGCAATTTGGTATTCGGCGGCTGGGATTACTGTATTAACAATGAAAGATCTGCTTCCATAAAGCATAAAGCATTGTACAATGAGATGAAAGTGCTTCTGGAGTCGGAAAGGTTGGAGGAGGAGCGACGAAATCGCACACCAGAAGAGGAAACGAAACTGTTCTTCACACGTCTGTTTGTTAATCTAATAATTCTCACGGTATTGGGCGGCTGCGGCTTGTTCGTTTATTACATAATCGACTTTTCGTTCACTCAGATGTCGGCGCATTTGGCAAAGGATCACGAAATATTGAATCTGTTCTTCGAATTTCTTCCATATATATGTATTGTCATACTTAACGTAGCGGTGCCATTTCTCTTTCGCTATTTGGTCGCCCTGGAGCATTATAATCCATCGTACGTCGTTGAAGTGACGCTGTATAGAACCATGTTTTTTAGATTCGCTTCCCTCGCAGTTCTATTAACATCTTTGCATGCGCTTGTCGCGGACAAAATTCCAGACAACGAATGCTCCAATAAAAAAACTGAACAGCCACTATGCTGGGAAACGTTCGTGGGACAGCAATTCATCAAGCTTTACAGCACCGACATTTTTATTCAATTTTTCATGACGTTCTTCATCAATTTTCCACGGTCGCTGATTGCACGTCATACCGAGAACAAAGTTTTGCGCTTCGTCGGCGAGCAGGAATTTGACTTGCCCAAACACGTACTAGATATCTTCTATTCACAGACGGTCTGCTGGCTCGGCTGCTTCTTTGCTCCGTTACTACCCATGGTCGCCATCATCGGAACATTCTTGCTGTTTTACATCAAGAAATTTACTTGCCTAGTGAACAGTACACCATCGAATAAAATTTACCGTGCCAGTAGGTCGAATTGCCTGTTCATGTTCAATCTGTTGATCTCCTTTGTCCTGGCGATGATACCAGTTGGCTACTCCATCGCAAACATCATGCCATCGAAATCGTGCGGGCCGTTCCGAGGATTGGAGACCGTCTGGTCATTTTTAAGCATGACGTTTTCGCAATTCCCTAACTGGCTGCAGTCAACTCTATCCTTTTTAGGTACGGCTGCCTTCGGCATACCGGCGTTTGTCATTCTCTCTTTGCTTCTCTATTACTATTACGTGATGTGGTTGGCAAACAAGCACATGGTGACAGTATTGAAAAATCAATTGGTACTGGAAGGTCATGATAAACAATTCTTATTGAACAGACTTAGCGCTTTCATCAAGCAACAACAGGATCAGAACAAGTTTCACCAGGAGCAGGGTAATGAGTTAGGCACATTTCAACATGTATAAATAGTACGGAACTTGATTTCTTTATTCTTATGAATGTACAAATTTAGTGAAAACATTTTTAGTGTAATCATGCGGACCGATCGGTTCGAGTATGTATTGTTTTACTTGAGATTTTTATAGGTTTTACTTTTTATAGGTTTTACTTATGAAACGTAAGACTGTCGACTTTGTCTTCATTATATTATTCACGAGTGGCACTTATATAACAGTTTTTTGATATTCTACCGAATTGGGATAAAAGTTATACAGACAACAATGAGCGCGGACAATACCAAAAAGATTAATACGTAATTTACTTACATACTGCCTATTGCAGTGTCTTGCATTTTATATAAACTGATGTTTTTCAAGATTTGTATTACAGTCGCAATCACTGCCACAAACGTTAGTTTCCGTTAGTCTTTAGATCAATTTCGAGAACTTTCAAACGGGACATATCTCATATTTTAGGAAATTCAGTCTTATTTGTATGAAAATGCACATCTGAAATCAGGGTACAAAAGAAAAAAAAAAAGAGAGAAAATGGTATTCTACAAGTATTGTGCAATAGTGAGAAAAATCGTGAATTATTTAAATATTTATTAATTCTGTATAATTTCACGATATCTATAAATCGTAAACAAGTATAGAACCTCACACACGTAACATTAAAGAAAATCTACTTTAAAACATAATCTTCGGAAATAATATATTGCAGCTATATAATATATTATAGCTAATGTGATCATATATATGTCTAGCTTAAAGACATTAATATCCGTTTTCACTAACATAGATTAACTTTAATCTTGGTTCAACTTACTCTTTATCTTTTCCTAATTTTTAGAACTAGAAAAAGATGAAGAGTAAGTTGAACCGAGATTAAAGTTAATCTACATTGGTGGAAATAGACAAAAACGAGCAGATCGAATTTGCCTATATCTGCCATTTGGGCGGGAACCTTCCTAGTTCGCCTAAGGCTTCGTTTTCCCGGCCTCACAGATTTTAAGATCGAACAGGCAGGTACTCACCCGTCTGATTTATATATGTATGTAAGAAATAATTATATAAAGTGTATGTTTAGCTAAATATATGAAAAACGACAACAAGACTAACGTCCCTCTATAGGACGACGTACTTCCTCAACTTTACGAGTAAACATTAGAGAGCTTTTGCATGAATGAAACAAAGTGACATGCAGCGTACCTATTTTCTAGCGTAGTTCCTTAGAAATCTGTAATGTTACTGTAAATAGGTCCTCTAGAACCTATGAAAAGTTATTTTACTAGTGATGTCTATAGTAAAGCGTCGGGGAAAAGTCAGAAATATTTTATTATATTTATTATTTCATTACCGAGGCTTTAATAATTTAGGATATAGGAAACGAACGAATGTGTAAGAATTTTTATAATTCCATATGTATACATCTAGAATTTTTTTTTAATTGTAAAAGTCTCGTACCTCAGTATAGATAACGCCAAAGATAATTCAAATTGAGACTGTAATAAATTATTTATTTCGTATATCTATTAACGAGATTGTAAACGAATGTAGGATACTTTCATTCATTATCACTGACTCTACATAACACAAAGATAAAAATGTTTTCCATTTTAACATATGTTTAAATATCGATTACGTAAGCATCGTGCACACAATACACGCTATCACAAATCGATCTGATTCTTTGGCCTAAATAATTCAATGCACATATTGCGTACTGAAAAATGTATTTTGTAAATCTCACATTTGTATAACTAAGATAGCATGTATGGATGCTCAGATACATCCTTAACTTATTATAGATGTCATAAGCTATTTTGACGACACTATATAAATGCATTTAAAATAAAATTAAATATGAAGC